GGTCTGGTGGAAGGTGTCCCTGCCCATGGCAGGGGGGTTGGAATGAGATGAGCTTCAAGGTCCCTTCCAACCCAACCCACTCTGTGATTCTGTGATTTAATGATTAATCGAAGAGAGATAAAGACAAGTTATCTTCCTTTGAAACTGAGTGAACCTGGACCTAGCAAGAAATACTGGCCTGTGTGGAAGTGCTGAGTTTCCCTAAGGTGTCACAGACCCCTCGCAGGGTCTGCAGGTAGAGAACTACAGCATCGCATTCGGGGCCATCTGAGAAAAATCCCGCATTCCACTTCCACTTGAACAAATTTCTTAAAATGTCTTTCTCCAGTAAGGAGAACCTCTTTTTCCTCCTCACTGTCAGTCAGCAGCCTCTTTATTAGTGCCTCGGTAATCAGTGTTTTAAAATGGCAGCTCTGCCCAAATAAACTAACAGAACAGGATTGGATTTTTCCGGTTATATTGAACAAATAAAAGTATTTTTGCAAACTTGCTGTTCAGTTATCATTTGCACAGTCTTTTTTTTTTTTTTTTACTGTACAAGCCACATCAAAGTGCAGAATATTGCCCTTAAAGGTGTATCTATGGTTTTGTACATTGCCCAGAGAACTTAAGTGACCACTTTTTCAAGACTGCACCTTCAAAGCCTGCGAGGACAGCAGAAAGTGGCTACTGTTCTGCCGTGCATCTCTGTCAGACAGAAAGTTCTGCAAATACCAATTTTACTTCATGCAGCTGGTTCAGGATCTCAGTGTCTGAATAAAAGCAATTCACTTATAAACCTCTAAAATGAAGTGCAGACCTCCCCCTTACCCCCCTTTCCGTTCTTCAAAAAATAGCTGCAATAATTTCTGATCACTAGGGTCTACCCGCATTTGACACTTACTTTGTTCTCCGAGTTTTTTGCTTGCACAGCTGCTGAATAAAGAACAAAGCAGTTGTTGCTACAGAATACGATGTCCTTCATTTTATCAGAGCCTTCTTGGGAATCCTGGGAATCAAACACAGAAGATTATCAGAAGTGCATTTTAACACCATTCTTCATGTAGTAAGTGCAATGAAACCAGTCTTCCAATCTGGCTAGAAACTCCTTATTTGTAGAACGTTTGTGAAATAACGAGCAATACTGTGATATAAATACTTGATTATTTGACACCTAACACTACCACCACCTACAACCTTTTCTTCAGCATTTCTTGCCTTTAACAGAAGTTTAACAACCCAAATAAAGCATCCTATACCATGCACCCATCTGCTCCACAGGCACACTTCCTAAGTAAACTCCATTTTCTTTTATCTTTAGATGGCAAAAAAACGTCTCATTTCAGCCTAACCAAAGACAGATCACACTGTTTTATCTAGTGATCCATCTGCAAAACATTACTGGGAATTCAGTGCTTTTCTGACTACACAAACCCATTACTTTTGTATATGAATTTTGACTATGTACCTTTGTTGCATTACTTATCTCAATCGCACTGAAAGAGCAATGGCATTTTTTGATTGAATGACAGTTCCCAGTGTAAATACAACAGTCCAAGACTGAATTATGATTCCTGCTCAAAAAGGGTACAAGTATCCTTGGTCTTACAGTACTTCCTGACATGGCAATATGGCCCTGCCTTACAAATAAGCATTTTTAATTAAGGTCCCTGAAGCAGTCTCGGAAGGAGGTTGGTAGCAGAATTTAGGAAGCTGCCACATATGGGACCTGTTTTATGAAATTTACTGAAATTCACTGAATATAAGTAACACCTTTGACACTTCCTATTGGTACCACAAATATGCTTGAGTGTCCCATCCTGAATTACGACATGCAGAAGAAGGGAGACTACAAAGCAACCAGGCAGTGGTATCAGTCGGCGTGACAAGCAGCAGTCTGCGTTGCCTGCAGCTGCTCATTCACCGTTACGTGCAAGAAACTCCGCTCCCACGGCAGTACCTGTTTAAGGAAAGGCAGGTCTTTGAAGGACTTCCGCACACCACTACCAAGAACCACAACTTTGCAGTGAGAGCACCATCGAGGTCTCAATGCTGAGCCTTCTGCAATATTCTGACTGTGATCCTTATAGCCAGCTATACCTACAAAACAGATAAGCCTGTTAGAAGCTGTATCAGATAAACCAAATTTCTGAGAAGTCACAGTATTCTTCAGTGGTCTAGTGGAGTAGCATCCTCCTGGATAGGGCACGGAAGGCAAGCTTCAAACTACATCCAAACTAGACCAAAACCAACTGTGGCAACAAGGCAAAAATACATTCTTGTGTAAGAAACGAGCAACTAAACCAACACAGGAATACATGCTTAAACAACTACGTCAAGTTTTCTGGCACAGGAACAATCTTTCTGAATGGTGGATTTAAAATCAGCCCAGCTTAAAAAAACTAATAATGTTGGAGGCTACCGGAAGAAATACCGCACTGACCGTGACGCAGATAAGCTAATGGAAATCAGCGATGGAGCAGACCTATTAAGTTATGGTTAACATCAGGAGCAGGTCCACAGGTATGGATCACGTAAGAAGAGAAAAGTGTTATTTAGAACAAGAATCCATTATTTAATTCTAGAGCATAAATTTATGAGGCTGAAATACAGTAACACTGACTCAGTTAATATTTTGGTACTGAAAACTCGGAAGACTTAACGCCCACTCACCATTGCTGTTCGCAGGAAAGGGCACATTAGGTTGCTTTAGTCCATAAGACCCTACGATCCTGGCAGGTCCCATGGATCCTGCCTGAGGACCCTGAAGTAGTAAGTGATGCCTGTACTCCATAGATGGGTTCACTCTGTGACTGCTGGCAGTTGCCATGGAGGATGGGACGTCTGGAGCGTTACTAACCTCGTAACTGTTGGGAATTCTGACGTGGAGCAGGTTGGAGAATGCCGCTACAACGCTACTGATGTTCTAAAAACGATAATAAAAACAGACCTTTATTTTCATCAGACAGTTAAGATAGCAGTCATATAAATTATCTGAAGATTGCAATAGGTGCTTTATTGTACTCTGCTAGAACCCCTTCAGATTCACTATAAAATATATTAACTCCTGTTGTACTTTATAGATGTAATACAAGCTTATTTCTTTTACCTCAGCAGCTGTGGGATGTAAAGTAATTGCTACAGATATGAGGCCAGACTTAGGACCATTTTGGGAGGGTCCAAGCTGAGAGGCAAACAAGCCAGAGCCAGGTAATGCTCCTGAACCAGGTTCTGATTTTATATAATTCCTTTTGGCTTCTGAACCTGAAAATAAAATGAAATACACCAGGTTAATCCTACACACATGTGAATGCAAAGCCAAAAAAAAAAGCCTAGTTCTTTGCTCTGCTACAGTCTCACCTTTTCCAGTACTGCTAGGTAGGATGGGAATGATGGGAGATGGTACGGGTTCTGGGTTCTCCTCCTTTACAACTGACAAGTCTGGATACCTACTGATTTCCATTCCCACCACGCTTTCAGGAGAGGAAGAAGGAACAAAGCTGTCAGGAGTGTCCCTGTCCTCGCAGTGATCTTGAACCCTGGAACAAAACACCAAAAAGCTGTTTTGGAAATGGTCTAAAAACTTTTGGTAAGCCAAAGTTATAAATTGTGACAGGGGCCGTTACTTCTGGGCACCTCATACTCCCTTGCTCACGGTGGTTTCTTGGGAAAGATACACAATGAAAACCAGAAGCACTAACAAAGCTCTGGCTCCATCATAGAACCATCTGTTCCCCAAAGCTCCGTCTACCTGTGTTCAAAATTAGTATTTAATGTTTAAACTTTGTGGTTTAAGTGTAGTTACTGGTTCATCCCCCCTCATCCATGCACAAGTTGCAGTGCCTCAAAGACACCCAACTTCTGGTTAGGCGAGTGAAAGGGAGGTAAAAGGAAGATCTTTGTAGGCAGACTGATGTTCTAGCAAGCGTTTCTCACACGGCAACAGAAACTGAGTGGAGCTGGGCAGTTTTCAGGCTGACTCGTAGCGTACTGCTGTCTGGTACAGCAGTCATGTGCCGTCATGGTGCAACAGTACCATGCTGCTCCAGGGAAAATGCCAATTTGTATAGTTTTCCTCCACGTTCAAGAGAGCAAGGTAAAGAATTCTTGAACAATTTAACCGAACCTAGAGTCTAGAAATGGCAGGAGTCACCCATTTCACTGTGCTGCTCTCTACACGTTATCCCAGTACATTCTCTGCACTGTGTGGCTGTGCCCCACGGATTTCATTTCTTCACACCTTCACAGTCTCCTCTCCTACTAAAAGATCACAGAAACTGCTCCAAATAAGTTTTTGAAGATGTCAAGGAGAACCTACCTTAACTCCTCCTGATTGTTGTGAGGTGGTGTGGGAAGTGAAGCAGGAACATCCACAGTTTTAGGGCCCTGAGCCATTGCTCTTGCTAATAAATCATCTTGAGGTCTGAAAGGCAACTGGAACTGCTTTGGTCCCAGAGCTTTGGTAACTGAAAACAGAAAGGCACAGCACAATGAGCCATCCGTACAGCTCTTCCATCGATACACACGCTGTGCGTCAGGGTCCTGGTGGCTCCCTGGTACAACCAAGGCGTTACAGCAGACGGTAACACCGCTCCCATCCACCTGCAGTTCAAACGTTTTTGACCGTTCATGATTCATCTCCATATTTACAAAAACCTGCAAATTTTGAGCAAAAAGGGCTCGAACGGCTTTTAAGTGTGCCTTCTGACCGTATGAAGAGGACTTTTGTTTTACTTAAAAAAAAAAAAAAAATTAAAAAAATCAACAACTTTGTAACAGCAAAGGAAAAGGGGTCGGGATAAAAAGGTTTTAATCACTGAACAGTCCTTAGGAAGAGGCAGTATAAAATTTTTTTTAATATAAAGCAATTTTAATTGACGAAATCAAAAGCATCAGAAAATACATACTAACTACACACACAGCCTGCTGAGGATCCACTTCAGGTAGACTGCTTTTGAGCTCACTCAACTAACTGGCTAGTCATTTGTACTGGACAAAAACTTGATTTTAAGGTTTTCTTTTTCATTTCTGAAGGGTGCTTCTAGCTCTCAACATTTTTTTGAAAGGGAACAGGGAAAAGGCTATAATTTGACATTATACTGGTGTAAAATAAAGCTGGATAATAATGATTACAACCTTAAAGAGCCTAGGCATACTGTTTTTATAAAACAGTAGCAACGGAAAAACATCCCATTTATCTATCTTTGTAATTTGCTACAAACTCGACTCCTTTATGACAGAAACGGTATGTATTAGTCTTACCATCATGACCTCCTATCACACCAGCCTTGCCAGCAAGTTCCTCAGTGGTTGCGAAGCCATTTACCAACTTCTGGCATGCCACCGGAGGTGGTGTGGGAGGAAGAGAGGCTGGGGGCGTCGGAGGATTGCTCAGATTGTTCTGCTGCACGAGATTAGAGAACCGTCAATCAGCCACGGAACACGGTGAAAACTTGCCTTGTTCTAGTACTAGATAACGCAACCCACTCACATGTTTATACACCCAGAGGTGGCACTGATAAGCAGCAACAGTTAATGCTCAAGTATGTGACCAAGTACATAAAAGCATCTACTATAAATGACACAACGCTTTGCTTTTCTCATATCAATGATATTATCAGAGAGATAGTTTACACGAGGAGTATACATTACTGAAAGAAGATACAGCTAAAATATTTACAGAAAAGCACGAAGAACATTTTCAGGAACAGTCTGGGAGCCCCAACAAGTTCCTACAGTTTAAGCAAAGGTCTGAACGTAAGACTGAGAGCGCCGCTCTGCAGTGACTCCCCATCACCACAAACAAGTCGGCTTGTCCGTTTTCACTAAAAGGGAAGCTACCTCACATCTAGCACAGGATGAGCTTTCACTGAAGCAGCGACCACGGAGAAGCACATACTCTTCAAGTTCACGCTCCAGGCTACTTCTCACCAGCTTACTCAACTGCCCAGATTTTAAATGAAAATTAAATGAGAACTTCAGCATCTGCTCTTGCTGCAGTCATGCCTGTAAAGCTAATACTTATTATTCATTTCTGACCACAGCAACTATTTCTGCTAGGTCACATTCTCAGCTCACATGCAATGTAAGGCTGGAGTAAACACCACTGTTTTTTAATAAGTTACTAAAGTTTTTATATTAGGGTAGCCAAGCAGCAAATTTGATTCTGTCTGTTCAGTATCTTGCTGCTCTCCCAGTCCTGCCACTCTGATCTCAGAGACTGCGCTTTAAATTCTGTGGGATATCAGCTCATCAACAGTCTATTTTGTTCAGAGTTCTCAGGCTCTTAGTTAGGGCTTAGTGGACAAATGAGGAAAGTCTATTTCCCATTTAATTCACATTACAAAATGCTTTAATGCTTTCAATGACTTTGCAAAGTACTGAGAATTCAGCTTTTTCTGCTCCATAAAACTGTAATTACAATTTTCACTATTTAGCATCCATCTGTAAAAGGAATATTTGTAGTTTTTAATTAGTTTACGGCACAGTTTCCAGAACAGATTTCCACTTTCAGAGAGTAAGACAATGGTGACTGTTTCACCACTGCACTGTCTATCTAAAAAATTATTTTCTTCTGGTTGCACAAGGCAGGAACTCTAAGCAACCAGTAGTAGTGATGTCATGAACTCCTTTTCCCACAGAGAGCATACAATGGATATCTAGACTAACACCGCACCTTGTAAATGAGCTGGGAGTAGTAATCTGAAGCCCCATCAAGAGTAGCACTACCAAAACTTCCCACAAGTCGATTTCCACCATTTAGCTGGCCACTGCCATAGGGAAGAAAGTGTGCAAAGCTCACTCCAATTATTGGTTCCATCAAAGGCAGAAGAGAAAGCTGCTATATGAAGAGGAAAAAAAAAAGTTAGAAAAGAATTTAAGTACAACATGGAAGCATTGCAAGTCTTCAAACCCCAACAGAGTGGTTTCTAAATTAACAAAATAATCAAAATCTACACACTATCAGAGAACTGTGTCACACACAGGCCTCTGTTTACTAAGGAAGGTGGTCCCCTGTCCATCAGAGCCACAGCTCCGGCTCCCTGCCAGTGCAGCCGCAGAGGCTGCCAGAGCTGACAGGGACTCCATGGTTTTGAGACTACCAGATGCCTGCCACGGCAGTAGATCTTCCAAATCGAAATAAACCCAAAACTTTAAATTTCCTTGTTTTGTGGCAGTTTTTCTACTCAAAATTCAACTTAATGATTAACTTCAGTTCCATCACAAGAAGCCGACCTTTCAAGTGTCCTCTTGACGCACTACCCAGCGTCTGTACACCTACCTGTTTTAGCTGGATGAATGTATCAGCGTTAGGGTAAATGGCTTGTTTCTCCTCTTCCTCTTTTTTTCTTTTCTTGGACCGAGGAGCTGCCTTCTCTCCTGTCCTCTGAGTTCGCTTATTTCTCTGTTTCTTGGTTTCAGGTCCTACATCTGTTCTCTGAAGCTGGCTGTTACTACACCCAAATGCACCTTGCATCTGGTTTCCTGCAGTTTGCTGGTATAAAAAAAGAAAGCGAGGCAGAATTTTTGACATTTTAATATACAGGTCATTCAAATTTACTGCCTGATAGTCTAAAAGAACACACATGGTATAATAAATCTCATCGATAACGAACTGTATTTTATGGTTTGTTTACTTCGCTGTCTCACTGGCAACTGTAACTGCTGCACTGTCCCTACACCCGGAATTATGACGTATCATTAACACCACTGACATCTGAAAACACCATTAAAAACTCGACAAGAAACATTTTCTTTTAAAATAAAGTTACATGTGCATGCAACCTTAGAGATTTTCACGAGGGCATAATGAAAGGCAGACCTGGTCACAGACAAAAGGTGTGTAAGTTAATATCATACAAATGGATTTTGAGGTTAGAAACAAACTCAGTAGTGTGAAACGCTGCAGGATTGTACCATTTGCTTCCATACTTTTTCAGTGCAAATTTGCAAAGCCACTCTGCACAGAAAAGCACAGTTGTGTACAAGCAATCAAAATGGGAACTGGTAACGCAACAGACAGTGGCAAGACAAAAAAAAAAAACCAAAAAGCCAATTTCTTTTTTTCAATTATTACTGTGATCAGCACTACATGAGCTCTGCCACAAGTACTCTCACCACTCTTCCTGTCATATATGTTTTAACCGCGGATCTTTAACACTCACCTAAGTTACCTGCTGCTCACAATTGCCTTTATTTTTATCAGTCTTTATTCATTTTGAATGCGTTTCAATTTTGTTTCAAGAATGTATTTAGAGTTCGGCCAGTCATAAAAGAAAACTGAGTAGAGATTAAAGATTACCATAAAATGACCAACAAATCTAAGTGTAAAGTGTGTCCTACCTCCACAGAAAGCAATTTTCTTAGGTCTGTTTTTAAGAACCTCATAAATTATTAAATCATATCATGCCATTAATATAAAGAATTAATGCTCCTTTCCATTAAAGTAAAAGTAATTAGAGAAATATTCTGTAACACAAAAATCCAGTAATTTTAGGAGATTTAATGATTTCATGCTTTTGATAAAAATCCTAGAGCATAATCTCTACTAAAATTAGAGCTAATATGTAATTTTCACAGGGAAAAAACGAGCACAGACTTGGTTCATTCACCGAACACTCCGAACGGCACAGACGAAGGAAGGGCTCCGAAGCCCAGCCCCGTGCCTCTGCGAAGGCACACGGGCCATCCTAAGCATGACTAAGGTGGAGCCACAGAAGAACGCAGCAGACAGACCTACCACACACTGTACAGAAACATACTAGTAGGTAACTAAGCGCCACGCTGTACATTCTTCTCTTAATCTTGGTCCATATTAGGAAGTGGCATTTTTTTAACACGATTTTCTATAGAAAAACTATTTTTTGCATTTTAATAATTTCTGAATGCACTGATCTACAAAGTCATGTTAAAATTTGTTCTTTTTGTAACACAGGTGATTTACTCATGGAGAAAAGGCAGGATGGGAGGTAAAAATTCCTCAAAGCTGTTTACTCCTTGTGCAGGTAGGTTATCTCCCCACCTTTTCACAAATGCCCGCGGTAAAGGCACAAACTAGCCTTTGATTGTTGATGACCGCTGTATAACAAAACCAGTAACAGGCTCACCATTCCTTCAGCTGGATTCTGCTTCTCTGCTAACTTTTTATCCCCAGAAGCCTCCTCTTCTGTTCGGCCGCTGTTCTCCGATTTCTGATTCAGAAGAGATGAGGACTTCTTATTTTTAAGCAGGTGTTTCAGCAATTCGTTCCCTGACTCCCCTTTCGCTGCTGGAACGCTGGCTGGTCGTGCTGGACTCTGAGCTGAAGAGGCAGGCTGCGATGTTACCTTATCCTCCTCCACTTTAATACTGCTTGGATTTTCTGCTTTAGGCTCAGCTTGACCCGAGCATTGATCAGTTTCTGCCTTTTCTAGTTTAACTTCTTGAATGCTGGTAGGTGTATCTGTTTTAGCCTTTTCAGTCTCTGTACTTGCACTCGGCTGTTTCTGTGGCAGACTGCTGTCGGGGAGCTTACATTCCAGCTCTGGAGAGGTCTGGCTCTCTCCTGTGTTTGATGTCGATGGGCCTGTTAACTCCACTGACTCTTGTTCATCTTGATGACGTGAAAGTTCATTGGGGGTGTTAACTGTGGGGGTGGAGGTAGAATCAGAAATGGTTGGAGTTGACGGGGCAGTTATATCTGAATGTGGAGTTGACGGGGCTTTTATTGACTCAGCATCATCGTCCTTTTTCTTTTTTCGTGTCCTTTTCTTTTTTCCTTTCTCTTCTGGGATTATGTCAGAATACAGCTGTATGAGAGACTGGCTTGATCCAGGGAAGTTCGTTGCCTGGGGCACGCTGGTGTCCGAACCACACGGGGCACCACTACTGAGTACTGCAGAGGAAGGTACGGCAGAAGCAAACGGAGGCCTGACTTGGTTCTGTGTAAAGGTAGCCCCAGGGAGGTTCCCGTGAGTTTGTTTTACATTATGGAAGTTAGGGGCTCCACCTGGAACAGCAGATGCATCAGGTCCAAAAGTTGTGGGTCCCACTGGCCTTCGCTCACCGCTCTGCATAAAATTTGTGGCAGGAGGCGAGGTCACAGAGCCTTGTTGCAGAATTTGCCCCATTTGTTGCTGCTGATGCTGTGGCGACTGCTGAAGAGGTCGCGGAGTTTGTATGAAATCACAAGGTAGATCAGAATTAAAGAAAGGTATCTGAGATAAGGATGTTTTGTTATTTAATTCAGACCCTATCATACCGTGCTGTTCTAGTTCCATTCTCTGCTGTAAAGCCCTCTGTCGATCGACCTCCTGCATAAGCTGAATGCGTTGCCGCTCCTGTTGCTCTCGTAAACGCTCCTTTCTTTCCCGCTCTTGAAAACTTTCGCTAAAAGGGTTATTGTCCTCAAACTCCACCCTTGGGGGTGGCCCCGACTGTGCAGTTGCGTTTGGACCAGGCACAGGAGCTGGTGTACCGGGAGTAATTGGCAACGGTGTCATTGGAGGCTGCATCCTTGCTGGATTCATGGAAATATGACTTGCAGGGGCATTTGCAGATTGCCACCCAGATAAATTTGGCATTCTGGGAGGGTTGGATTGCCCGGGGATTACCACTGTATGTTGCTGATGCTGGAGCTGTTGTGCCACCATGGGGAAGTTTTGCTGATTCATTGCTGGTGATGCTCCTCCTGGAACCATTGGTGGTTGAGCCTGGACGCCTGGCATTATACCATGGGGTGCCATTCCACACTGCTGCTGCTGCTGCTGCTGCTTGATTCGATACTCCTCAATCAGTTCCGCATGCTCTTTCTGCTGCTTTCGAATCTGAAAATTAAAAAAGTCATTATTCATCTCTGACATGTCCTGACTATGAAGTAGCATAAAACATCTAACTCACCATTACAATTTCAGCAGACAATGAACCTCAGGCAAAAATAGCATTTCTGCACAGTCTTATTTTCTCTCCCTTTTTAAGGTTAAATAGCCATTATTTCATCAGAAATACTATCCATTCCAAAATTTTAGAAAAAATAACGGCGCCTCAAAGTTCTAATTACATACCAAGACTGCACTGTGCTAGAGCATCACAGAATCACAGAACGTCAGGGGTTGGAAGGGATCGCGAAAGATCATCCAGTCCAACCCCCCCACCAGAGCAGGACCACCTAGAGTGGGTCACACAGGAACACGTCCAGGCAGGTTTTGAATGTCTCCAGAGGAGACTCCATAACTCTCTGGGCAGCCTGTTCCAGTGCTCTGTCACCCTCACAGCGAAAAAGGTTTTCCTTATGTTAATGTGGAACCTCCTGTGCTCCAGCTTGCACCCGTTGCCCCTTGTCCTGTCATTGGACGTCACCGAGAAGAGCCCAGCTCCATCCTCCTGACACTCGCCCTTTACGTACAAACCTAAACCAAAAGTGATCCTTGTTCTACAGATTTTATCATCCACGCACAGGGTAACAATTGTTGGGAACAGACAGGAAAAACAAAGCAGTGAGATGGATGATCTTCACACACCAGCAAAAACTTTTAAAAGATGTAATTGAAAAACGTGCAGGAAAACAGCGAGGTAGATTCCCACTTATTCACAGGCAGATCTCAAACATCACACAGCAGATGGAAATGGCAACCGCTGCTTGAAAATTTTAAATTTTAGGGGGAAAGTAAACTCAACTTGGATGCTGAAAGTTAAGCCTAGTAGTTTATTTTTAAGGCAAGCAGGAGAAGCCAATGGAAGAACACGACAGTGTCAACTGGACAAGAAGGAGCATTTCAGAAACACAACAGATACCTAAGTACACTGCTCTCTAAAAAAACAAAAGGACTTGTAATCCACCAGTTAGAAATACATACACTATGGAAAATCTCTCTTTTACTTCCATTCATTATGTTACAACTTCCACAATTTCCATTTGCTGTTTGTACTGATAGAAAAAGTCCAGACCATAATTAAAAATGTTTGATGGCACTCTCCTTTATCCAGGGCAAGGGACAAGCCAGAAAGTTGAAGGTAACAGAGATTTTAGCTAAAAGCTCAGGATAGCAGAGGCTATTTACACAGTCATCTCAGGTCCAAGATGATTTATGAGCTCTAGCTTGGCACTGACACCGCCAGACAAACAGTGCCACTGCATAAAGCCACCAACGGGATCGATCTGCATCACACGGTCCAGCGCTGCAGGACTTCTCCATGGGTAGACGGTGCTAAACCTGTGTTGGCTCTGTGTGCCTCTACGCTGAGGCATCCAAACCGCTACACCCTCCCGGGACCCACAGCGGCGGATCAGCCCCGTAACCGCACTTGGAATTAGCGGAGCTCTCGAAGGACCAGCACTGACTACGCCCCGCTGGACCTGAGCCGACCTGAGCAGACTGACCAGGTGGCTTCAAACAGAGTAGGGGAGAACAAGGCAGAGCTCACCAGCACAGGCCCAGCGCCACACCACAGCAGTTCAACTGCCCCGGCCACAGAGACAACGCAGCAGTGTCTGCACGGCTCGGTGCCTGAGCTAATAGCCCTGCCTGACATCGACTCGCCTCGCACAGTCAGCTCCGCGTTCTCTGCGCCCACGGCCAGGACCAGCACCTCACAGGGATCCGAGAGCTCTTTTCCCTATATACACATATGTAGGCTTTGCCCTTTTCAAAAACTACTAGGAGCTTGGTAACGGAAAAATTACTTGATCCCATTTGAAAGAGTGGTGAGTTGCTTCAAATAGAAGGTCCTTAAGAACATACTTCAATAGAACCTTATTTAAGTTCCTGCTAGGTATATAACAAAGTGCTGTTCAGGATGTGGGTGACTGGTCTAAGTCAGTGGCTGAAGGGGAGTGGAGGGCATTTACAGAACTATATGAAAATTAAGTTTAAAAATGAAAAATGATAAGTGCCCTTAATTATGGGGCACTAATTGAATCTGGCAGCAATGTCTTGATTAGCAGCTGTAACTTCAACACAACTCCACTGTAAGACTAGACTGACGTACGTATGACAAAGATCGGTTAAAGTGAATTTTTTTTTGCATTTATTCTACTTGTGAATCATTGTGGTAGGGAAAAAAAGAAAAAAGAAGAAATGATGTTGACATAATTTATCTGCTCCATCCATCTTCCACATAATGAAAAGATGAGCCAACTAATATTCCATCCAGCGCATACTTTGTCTTGAAGCAACACAGGAGCAAGGACTTGAGGGTCAGATATCACTTAGGACTTCATTCCAAGCAGCCTGCTGCCAATTTTTTTCCCCTCATACTAATAAAGGATAATTCTAAAGCATTTTTATGTTCACCAGGCCTAGCTGATGCTGACAATCAAGCTAGATAACTTATAAACAATGTCTTGAGGAACACAGCATTCAATACTGTTGGTCAAAGCACAGATTTATCAAAGCTATCACAGGTTTAACTTTAATCTCACTATAATCACAGTTACAAGATGTAGCAAGTGAAATTCCAACTGAATATAAAGAAATTAAAACAAAAACCAGTGAAAGTGGTTAGGCACTGGAACTGGGGCCCAGAGAGGCTGGGAAATCTCTACCCTTGGGGACTTGCAAAACTTGACTGACAAGTCGCTGAGTAACCTGACTTAACCCTGAAGCTAGTTCTGCTTTGATCAGACGATCTGATGATCTCCAGATATCCCTTTGACCTGTACTATTCCATGACACAGTAACAGATACACACACTGATGCTCGGTGTCTAGGAACTAGACAGATCGTAAAACCAGACTAACACTAAAGATAGAATGAAAAGAGATTTTCAAACAGTAACGTTTAGCTGGCATATAACCAGTTCTGATTACATAAGGACACCTGAAAAAGACTGTTACGAGGCTCATTCAAGCCCGAAACAAAACCCTGCGTGCTATGACTTTCCTCTGAATCTTTCATTTATGCTTTCCATGGTGCCAGGAACTCTGTTGCAAGTCATTTTGCCAAGTAATTTCCCCTCTTCCCAAAGTACTAAACCAGCATTCTGTCGTAATGTTTGCCATAGCTTATTCTCCTCCAACTCCAGTGTCATCGTCAATCTGGACGAATGCTGTTAGACACAGAGAATACGATAGGGAGTGGCTCCCTTTGAATAAGCTCCACTGTATTTAAGCATTTCAGCTCGCCTTTTAGAAGATTTAAAGAGTCATACCAGTACAATAGCTTAGTATTAAGGTGATCAGTTTGGATTCCACATGATTACCTGGTCTAGTTGTTTTTGGACCATACTCTGCTGCTCAGTAACATGTTTAAGCTGTTCTGCATCTTCTTCCGGGAACTCACGGCCAGCTTTCTTGGCTGTACGCTGTTTTGCTGAGAGTGCCTTTTTTGATTTTCTGTGTGCTCCAATTTGCTCCTCAAGGTACTTCTGCTGCATTTGAAGAAGTTGTTGTGTTTCTTGCAGCCATTCCTCATATTGCTTTCTTTGTGAATCATCTAGAGAGGAGGGAAATTAAGTATGATATGATCTCATCCCAGGGGTGAGCTCTCATCCTGCTTTTTAGAGATGATGTTTAACCATCAGGTTCCCCCCCTTATTTTAAAAACCATTGGTCAAGTTCAGCCAAATTTGACAGAGAATTCGATATCTCAAGAGATGTTCAACTCTTGGAGTGATTTCAGTAAAGGAGACAGAGATCCGAATTACTGCATTTACTGGGAGAAAGCAGTTCTAACATAGTCCCTTCATTTCAAGACACCTTGCTATCTAGCCAGTACCTGTGCACTTGATAGCTAGTAAGAAAAAGCAGCTTTGAAAGCAGCAACAGAACCTGCTGGTACCCTGCTCTGCCACTGAAGAGGGGACACAGAAGACCTCTGGAAGTACCCAGGTAGAGGGAAAAAGACTAGGGAGTAAGGATACAAACTTGCAGGAAACATGGACTCATTAATTCTGGCGTTTGCGGAGGAGTTTCGTATATATAAAATCCATTTTTATTACTAAATCTAAGAAAAAAATCAAATTATAAACATCCATCAAATATTCATTAAACGAAAGAAAGAACTGTCTTTGTAAAAATAACTTTCCCTCAGTCCTCCACACAGGGCCTCCAGCACCAGCACCTCTTCCTCCCCACAAGCAAATGCACTCTCATTTAGACTGAGACATCTCTTTCTACAAATGAAAAATGCTCATCAGCTCTGAGCAGTCCGTTGCTCTCAGAGGTTTTTCTCGAGGCAAACCAATGAAGTCTGGTAACACTTGACCTGCACGAAGCTCAGAAGGCAAGAGAGAAGGTTTGGTGATGGTATCATTTGTCTCCTGACCACACTGAGGCAATCAGCTGGGTAACCACGAATAAGGCATGGATCTTCCTTGCAAACAAAGTTTGTTTACTAAAGATACCTACACACAGTATGATTTCAATATAATCAGGTCCTCCCTGCGCCCCAGTCCCTACCACCTTCTATTTTAACAGTCACTCTGGTAGTGACAGCCATCGACTCTTAACGGCTCAACTAAATCAATTCACAGAACTAGCTCCAGTCTCGAGGGGTGCCCATTCTTTCAACGGTAAATTCTGCAAAACTAATCACATAACCTGAAGGGACAATTGAGTGGAAACAATGGAGAGTAACTGCAGTCGGGAGCAACGTGAAAGCACAAGTGAAAGTACTGAAATATTAACAAGTTCCAGGTAAGAATAACCACTACTGAAATGGGAAACAGATTCTCAAGTGCTCAAAACCATCACTACCTCAACCAGAGCGAGGCCACCGCTAAGTGCCACATCAAACCTCACCAGAAATTAATACAGATAATATCGCAAAAACTCCTTATGGCATACTCAGTGCTGCTGCTCCTGTTTCTGGAAAAGGTGAAAGCGTTTACTTCTGTTTCTTATTCACAGATACTAAGTAAAGTTTTTGCAGTGATAGAAACACTTTTTTTATATGTGGTCGTCTTCTCCCAACATATGCTCAGTTTTAATTTCTGCTAATAAATCTTTCTCATCATAGAGACTAGGATTTACAATTGATCTAGGGCAACCAGAAACAAGCAACACAAAATACTAGTGCTATGTACTTCTGCTTTCAACAATTCTGGTTCTCAGCCAGTCTTGCTTAACGAATGCCTGGAAAGCTTTTATTGGTATTTCTTAAAGCAACAACGATGCTGCACAAAACCTTTTGCTTCTGACATACAGCTCCCCCATCAATATAGATTGCTCAGAACATTACAACACAACCAAAGACCAGGTTTTTGAGACAGCAGTCTGTCAGTTTATAGATTAGTATTCTCACACAAATGCAAATAATGCTAGTTTTCTGTTTGTTCCGTTTCCCTCTTTTCTCGTGGTGTTTCTTTAAGGATAGCTTCTACAAAAATGTTAATAGCATTTACTATGCACCCCTTTATTAGTTGGTATTGCAATGATCAAATGACTCAATTTTAAAAGGAAGAAATTTTGAGAGACATGATCCATTATTGGATACTTTATCTTAAAGAAAACAGAAATGTAGAATGAAACACCAACATACAATAAATTATTAAACCTGTACTTACTGACAAAACCAGGACCGAAATTGGGAGGATTAGGTCTAGAAATCTGAGGTGTCAAACTTCCGTCCTAGAAATTTCAGTAAAACATATAAACAAGGATATTAAATCATGATTCAATTAAAAAACCCAAAACCTGGTTATCATTATTAAACACTTTTGTTTAAACCCCATATGAAGTTGTATTACCTGTGTAATTACCTGCTGCATATGATTTTGGCCTTCACTGGCCTGAGCCCCTGGCACTGGCTGACCCATAAAGGGAAACCTATTGATATATAAACAGAAAGAGAAATTACAACATTTTAAAACTTGTGGGTATTTTAGGGGAGAGACAACTAAACTTACACAAAGCATCCAAATGTTTTATAGACATTTGCTTGAACTTCTGTACCAAACTTTTTCAATATCTCGAGAAATTAATTCCCATTTGATGCTACAACACTTTGCCCTTGGTTGAAACAATTGCATTTTACACTTCCTAGAGAAATGAAGTAAGCATGATGGACTGTGCGCTAAAACAGTGAAGACGCACAAAAAAACTTCCATATTTGTATTTTAATATACTATGATACACAAAAATTATTTCATGGATTAGGTATTGCGGTCACCAGCACAGTCAACTAGAGTTGGGTAAATGTACGCCCCTGGTAAGCCACATGTTGTCATATAACACTGAAGTATGTGTTTGGGAGCAGAAAACACACTGTTTTATGGGCCACATAAAAAGAAGAGGGACAGATCCTTTCTGACCCATGGACTCCCCAGCTATGGTAAAGGCAGTCATGGTGAAGCCTGCACAGTTCATAGCTCCTTTTGTCCTCAGAACCGATTTAAAGAGAGGATGAAACTTCCACTACTTGGGCTAAATCTTCATTATACTTAGCATTAAATGACACAGAACACGTTGCAAAATGCAACATGAAGTTTAACCGTTGCACGGCCGTCAACGGTTTTCAAACACAATGCATGGGAGATGGGTCATTGCATAATTGGTAAGTGGGAAAACAAGGAAAGCATCAACAGGGAAGCCATGCTGACTGATGACATTACAACTGGAACACGTCCGATGAGTTTTAATACTTCTAATGGTCTCCTCTGCCACACTGGTTTTATTCTTAGGAGATAATCTTGTATTAGCACGGACTATGAACTACCTGAAAAGAGATTTTTTCCACTTTTAAATTTTTTCATTTCCTGTGCTCAGTTTCCCCTAGTTCTAGCATCTTCTTTTTCATTTTGTGGCCATAAAGAATGGTATCAAGTGTTACCTACCTGTTCATAACCATTGGTGGCATCCCCATGTTACTCTGCGCCATGACTTTATTGATCCCCTTAAGAGCTACCATTTTTGCTTTCATTATAGGATCAGTAATTGCATCAAAATCTATAAAAGGAAAACAGTGAGAGTGAATTACATAGCTGAACATTGTAAGTTATTAACTGGAACTGACTTGTTTAGATCTAGCTCATGCATAAATCAACAGTAAAACAACATAATTGCATTAATATTTCACATTACTTGTCCTCTTCACTTTGAAATTCATTGTTAATATGTAGTTTCATACACCCCCTAAGGAAAGCGACTCCAGAAGAAACTGCCCTTGTTTTCAGCCACAACATGCAAAGAAAAGCAGGTCAGTCTGAGAAGGGCTCTAGACCACATCTGGCCTATGACCCAATGGATTAACAAATTCTATTTATAGGTTTAAGAATCATGAAGAAGTGTTTCTGTGAGTTCAGCTGGCAAAACGGACACACCACCACTAACGTACTAAGACAATGGTCTGGTCTCTCTGTAATGGCCAGCAGCACTAGAGGCAGAAAGGCACACACCCCATCCAGCACCTGAAAAGACCATAAGCATGGTGAACTCTGCCACTGCGCTATCTCGCAGGGCAGGATAAATGGGAGCACAGAAGGGCCGAGGTTCGAAGGGACCTCTCGAGGTCATCTTAGCCACTTGGGGTGGCTGCAGCACGTTCTAGCCACACTACAAATACGGAACTGGGACTCAGGGGGGAGGTTAAATTTGTCTTTTGAACCAACAGCCTTGAGGGCCAGTGTAGTTAAAACTAACACGCTTCTCAAAATTTCCTATTTCATTAATACTAAATGACAGCGATGGGTCCTGATCTGAATGCTCAGACTGCTATGTCATATTAAACAGGAAATCTTAAATGCTTTTAGTACGTGCAGAATTATTTGTGATGTTTCTGGGCCTTGCCTAGATTGTGAGTTAATAATACACCTTTTGATGATCCCTCTTGAGACACTGCAAAAAACTCTAACAAAACCATAACGAGACAACTGATAGATCAAATATCAAAAGGTCAGCTATCACACTTGACCATTTAATTTTGTTTACTAAGGGTGCATTCACTCCATATCACATATGAGAACCTGAAGAATAAAGGGAATATGCACCAGAGCTGATGTCAGAAAAATCAGCAGTAATGCAGTTACCCTGATCCTGGTAATGTCAACAGAAGCCTTACCATGGAGTTCAGAATTCTAGCTACATGCTCAATTTCCATATTCCCACTATACCTACTAAGCAGGTTGCTTTTTGTTATGTCACCTTCAAGCTCCACATATCTACATGCTTCTTTCAGTGCTATGGATTATTTAACTATTTATTGTTGTGTTTTCAAAAAAAACTAACCAGAACATCAACAAATAGGTCACCCACATACCAATATTGGGGAAAAATGGCTCCGAACGTTGGCGAATCATGGCTTGCATCTGTCGTTGCTGCTGCTGCTCCTGTCTTTCTTGATCCAAAAGGTCCTGCAGAAGAAGCGGCTGTTCCTCTAGCAGAAGTGGTCTCTCTCGATTTTGTTGTTGAGCTAAAGGTTGAGGGAGCATTATCTGTTGGGGGCCAGATATGCCACTAGGACCAGGACGGTTTGTTACAGCCACAGTTTGATTAGATGTCTGTCCTGTCCCAAAATTATGATTAGATGACTGACTCTGAATAAATCCTGGATTTGGTGACCCTTGAGAAAAATTATGGTTCATTCGTGGAACCATGGCTAAATTTGAATTTAAAGTGTTTTCCAAGATCTGTCCACCAGGTGTCATTAGTGTTTGTGGAATACCTGTTGTATGGTTCATTTGTGTCGTTGGCAAAGACTGAGATGGAGAGCCTAGAGTCCTTGCTTCAGCATTATCTGAGCTTTCATTAGCTAGCAAGCTTGAGAGGACTGGCGTGGACCCAGAAATACTGCAGGAACTTACTGCTCCTTGAACAGGCAGGGGAGCAGATCCCTGAGCATCTGGACTAGGCACAGTTGTTTCTTGACTAGGAACAGCAGTGGTTTTGTCAGGGAATTCTGGGTTAGCAGGCTGCGCCGGAGCCTTTTCTCCATCCTTTAACTCCACTTCAGCAGCCTGTTGAGTACTCATGGATTCAGCATTTCCATCACTTTTTTCATTTTCATTCTTCTTTTCCTCCTGAATGTTTGGGGAAAGTACTTCTGTTTTAATTTCATTTTCGGTAGCAGATTTCTTCTGTGGAGACTGGGTCTTAGGAGGAGAAACGGTTCTAACACCTTGTTCTTTCTGTTTTGGTTCTTCTGTCTTGCTCTGGATATCTAGTTTGTCATCGATGGGGACACTAAGGTCTAGTTCTTCATTAAACATTCCTTTCTTATCCCCCACATCAAGGTCTGGGTCTGTGTATGCAATTATATCAAATTCCCCGGATCTCAGAAGATCATCAAGGTGAGGATCATTGGTTTCCAAATTATCTAGAGTGTCCAGTTCATCTCCTTTCCCATCTTCTGTGTCTAGATTCAAATTTTCCAGATCCTCATCATCTAAATCCTTGACTTCAACTCCATCAAGGTCTTTCACATCCAAGTCTTTCACAGCAGGATCATCAGGATCAAGCTTTTCTTCTAGACCATCACTTGGCTGGCTGGCAATCTGTAAATTTGCAGATTCATCACTTGGTGCAGATGTAGACAACGATGGTCCTGGGAATGCATCAGCAACAGGTGGATGACTTAGAGAACGTATTACAAGTGCAGGTGGGTTGTCAGGATTGATTTGATCCTGCTGGGATTGAGACATATGCTCCAAACTTGCAGACATCTGCAACTGGTTAGGTATACCTTGAGAATTATGTCTCAGTGGTTCTGCCTGTCTTGGGCCCGGAAACTCCTGCCTGGGTATAAACCCTGCATGTCGTTGATGTTGTGCTGCTGCATCCATAACATTTGGAGCAGAAGGATTAAAAGGCAGCCTTGGCCTCCCGTCAGGAGCTCTGTGACGTAACTCGATGAATGCCTGACCCAATATATTGTGCTGCTGAACTGGAATTCCCTGTGGAGGAAAATGTTGAGAGATCCCAGATGCATTATTTATCTGCGGATTGTTCACTGGCCGAGGCATATCAATAGACAGAGATCTTCTCAGCTGTGGTGGAACTCCAGGGCGTTGCATTGGCTGCTGAGGACCAAGGAAACGTTCTTGACCTGATGGTGGACCATGGCCACCTCCTGGAAACCCGTATCTAAAATAGAGTATGAAAGACTAAATAATCTTTTTTTTCAGGACTGCCTAGTCTGGCATATTTGACTAAATAACTATTCACCAAAATGCTTTACATGATGCATTCATTAAGATATTTAAATAAATATTTTGACTAATTATGCTTACATTTAAATGAGCTTTATGACTACAATAAAATAATTGCTTTAATTATGTTTAATAAACAACCTGTTTTCAATTCCAATAATAATAATGGATAGAAAACTCTGGCATTAAGTACCATCTTCATAACTAAACTGCATGTTAATGCAACTCAGCATAAAAAATAATTTTGTGTGGATTTAGAAATTACTGAAATAAATCCAAAATATTGGAAATAATAATTCCTGAGATGACAATTTAGGTCAATACTGATATTCATTTTACATCATAGTATTCACTGCAAAAATGGCACAGACAGAAGTTGACATTTGATCTCATATTCATTGTAAATGAAACCAAGAATATTACATTTATCCATTATTAAGACACCAAAGCTAAAGTCAGATCTTTCACTTTTAAAAAGAAGAAACGCCCCAATACCATGGGCGACAAGATCTTTCAGGACACGTAACTTTCACAAGTATTGCAGTTTCTCCATTTTTATTTCTGATCAATTCCCAACAAAAGACAGTGTGAAACAGTGTTAGTGTAAAATAAACATTCTGATGTCACAGATGCTTACAGGAAAACTCACTGTACCTACTGACTTCAGGAAGATTACCAGCTACTGTAGACAACACAAATAATCAAAAAAAACCCACCAAAAACCCTTTATCTAACAATTTCTGTAAATGTACAATTACTCCTGTAATATCCTGGTTTCAAGAGATCACAGAGCTTACCTAAGACCGTGAGGTCTCATCCCCATGGCACTCATATCACCTGGAAACTGGGGTCTATTGAACTGCCCATCACCAGGAAATGGTCCACGTTGGTCTTTTGGGTATACGGTGAACCTTGGCCCACCCGGAGGGACCATGGAGGACCTAATATTCCCAGGATACGGAGGAGGAGGGCGGTTAAAAATTTGATTTAAGTTGTCTTGCTGCCAATGCTGAAGAGGAGCAGCATGGCTAGGAGTTGCTGCATCCTGCAAGGCTTTTTCCTGACGAACCGCATTCTTCTTCTGCTGCTGTTGCTGTAGAATAATTTCACGTAATTTCTGGCGCTGTTTAAACAAAAAAATATCATTGTGCTTGACACTGCAATTGACATATTTTGAAGTGTTACACTCTGCTAGGTTAAACCTTTTGGAGGAAAGAAATTCTTCAATCGCTACAGAAAAATATTATAAACAACCATAATTACCTCAGAAATTAGAAGAGGGATCAAACGGTGCAAGATGCTGGTAATGCAACTTAATCTCCAGACCTCTTGTTAAAGTGTATGGCGTGAACACATTTTACTAATTAACATATAAGTAACTCTCTTTTCCTTTTTCTATTCCAACAATGCAGGCCCTTTTACCTCATGAGAAAGTACATTCTGAGGATGAAAGGCAACCAGAGGTCCACTGAAGAATCTTCAGCAAGAGGTTCACACCAAAGCTGCAGAACTTACTCTGACTCTGCATGATAAATACTACCAATTTTTCTGCTAAATCCACTTCTTACAAAAGACTGAGCAGCTCTGCACAAGTTGAATGTATTTCTATGTCTCAGCAAGAACTGTTTGCCAAACATTCATTGATTAAAAAACCTGGAGTGAATGTGCCTCAAGAAGAGCGACCAGTGACCAATGGCAGGATTCACCTCAACACATCAGCCAACTGAAAAGTTAGATGTCTCGTCTGAGATCTTTGCCTATGCTCCCTTTTTCAAACAGTGAACAAGTCACTGACAATCAGTTCTATGTCTCATCTACTATAGGATACAATTAATTGTCCTTTCAAGGTGGGTTTTTTTTCCTCACACTGTAGATAAAAGAGCTATTACAGACCAATTATCTGCATCTTCAGTGGCTTCAAAGATGGCCTTTGCTTCCTTTTTTTGGATTTTGTCCAAACTCCTTAAAAATTACTGATGTTTCTATATTCTGTATATTGTGGTTCTACCCAGGAGGACTAAATCAACATACTAAGTGAATGAAGATAATGCTATGTTATACACCTATGTTAACTGCAAGAAACTTCAAATTTCAACAAGAATGGGTGAAATTCTTCTACTTATGACATTTTAATATGTCCTAGGTTACAGTGCAAAATGTGCCAAA